CATCTTCTGTGTGGCTGCGCTTGATGTGCATGTTGACAAGGTGCCTACCTGTCTACTACTCACTATCTCGTCTATGCTGGCTCTGGGAGACACTTGGTCTTTGCTAGAGAGGACGGGGTGCACGGTCCTTGTGGTCGTGCTAGGCTCGAAGAGTAATTCCATGCACTCAGTGTGGAGCGGACTACGGTCCAGCCACCACCTTGTGTGCGCTTGATTCCCAAAATACAGCGTGCTTGTGTTTGCCTGTGAAGGAGTGTGGGCCGGCTCCGTTGATAAAATGTGGCTCCCATCCACATGCCTCCCGGTCTTATTCCTTAGGGTTTATGCTGGATATGGGACGTGTGGGTGGTGCAGCGCAAGCCACCCATGGTCCCTCTGTAGGCGCAGGCGTCCTGTGGCTGGCCACAGTGACAGGCGAATCCGAAACCGGATACCGCCAACCATCTAGGGTGCCACTAACCGTGAAAGAAATAGAAAAGCTATCCATCCTTAGGTCCGCTGAGTCCGGCGTTTGGAAAAATGTTTCATCCTATCCGCCATATCCTTTTCGTACATCACCTGATCCTTCATAGTTAATATAACCACGAATGTTAGCAATACCTAGATCCAGTATTCACTAGCAATGCTGTGGCATCACAGCACGTTCGATCTTGCTGTTTGTGGATTTGTCTAGTTTTCCGCCTTGCTCCATCGAAATCCGGTGTTTCTGATTGCATCCATAATAGCGTTTACCGCCTGTCATCATCATCTTAGGAGTGGTTCATGCGACTGCGTTAGAATTTTCAAGGCCAGCTTCCGCGCACTTATGAATGACCTGTCGCGGTCATGTCATGCTCATAGGTCTATCTGCTTTCTTCGATTGTCAGTTTTTATTGATGCCTCTTCTATGATCTTACCGGCAAGTTTTCCTTCTCTTTGGTAACTCATGCTCTGTGACTCAATACCGCTTCCGGACAACATTCTCACTAATTTATCTCAGATGGAGCACTTCAAGACTAACCTATTTATCCTGTTCACTCTGACTTGTGATCGATTTCATCACTGATGGGGCTACAGCGGCCATATACGATGTGAACTGCCAAAGCTGATTAAGTGGTCATCTTTGGACAGATGAACGTTAGAGCTGCCTTGTTTTCTTATTTTAATGCAATTTCAACTCCCCGGATATGATGCTGTTTAGCATCAAATACTTTGACCATTACCTGGCACTCGCAAATGGCAAGGTTATACTACAAAGCTGAATTTACGCATTACCAGCTCCCGCAATAGCTTGTCACTCACTGAACTCGGCGGCATTTGTGTTAACGATATCCATGTTGCTTGTTGGATCTTATGATGACAAACGACTAGTTTTTTAATTAAAGGAAGTGGATACGACTCTACCATGTGGCCAGCGTCATATTTTGTCAAGGAAGCTGCCCACTGCTGAAGGTGTCACGAGCTCCTTTTTCTGCTTACTGCATCCCGATTGCCTGGTTGGGGTCCTAAAGACGATGAACACATTTGGTTGGGCACACTTACTGACATGGCGAGGAGCTGGCCCCATTGGTGTTTGTGTTGTTAGTTTTTCGTCCCTCTCCCTCCCTTTTAGATTCCCCCTCCAATTCCGATCTACGGATTGCATAATATAATATTTAACTGAGACTGTATTTAAGAGCAAGTCGAAAGGTTTCTGTACAACTCTATCGAGTTACGAAAAATCAACAGTTGTGTCTGGTACATTAATCGTTTATCCTTGTTCGGTTAGGAATTTGTACTAGTGTCATTCTTTCCGGGCATACAATGTCTTCTTTTGGCATTGTATGTGCATCGTTTCACAAAAGCACAGGTTTCCGAAATAATCGTCGATACGGGTTCTAAAACACCTCACATAATCGGCCTCTATTAATCCTTCAGGTAGTGTATCCCATAAGTTTACGATTTTTCGTTCGATACAAAGCTGATATGATACTTTGTTCATGCAGGGGACCCTGGGTTTGTAACGGTGTCCTCGGGTGTTACAGGGTTCCCGCAGGTGAAATATTGGCCGCAGTATGGGGAGGTGGTTTAAGTGTAGTACTCGATGCGTCATAATAACAGTGTATTACCTGCTTTTACATTTTTGTAGTTTAACTTTTTTGTATTGCGGCCCATTAGCTTAGGTGTGTTTTTCACCATCAACTAACGTGTATTGCTGACGATGATTTTCTGCTTGCTATTCATGTTTGTGAGGACTACCAAATGAATTGCGCCCAGCACCTGCTCTGATTGCTTGAAAAGGACCGCATGAGATGTGCATACTAGCTATCTGCTGCATGCGTTGGTTCACGCTTTAGTTATTAACTTAATTAAGTCCTGTATCGGTCGATAGACGACGTGATGGCATAATTTCAAGGCCAGACTACCGGATCGTGCCGTCTGTGCGCGTCCTTCCCATAGATATGTTGGCCTCGGAACTAACACACAAGTAGTTAGAAACCCCAACCAACATGGTCTACTTAAGAATTTAGTGGGCCTATTGTATTCAACTTATTATTAGGCCTTACTTTTTTTCCGTTCGTTCCGAATGATTTTCCTTTCCTTTGGCTTTGCTCGCACATTTAGTCCTCGTTCGCTTGCTATGGGGACGCAAACAACAGTCGTGGAACTGCTCGTCATGCGGGACTGGGGTCATAAAAAGTCCAAACTTAACTGAATTATTATTTTATCCATCTGTACCCAAGGACCCAAACGAAGATAACACCATTCATGGAGTGGAGTTGGAGACATCTAATGTCCGATGAACTACTCTCGCTTTTGCGAACTTTACACAGTTTATGTGGCTATTGGATAAGTGATTACAGTAGCACGGTTCTTACTTTAGACGGAATCACTCTGTATTAATAAGGTCTTCCATCATGCAACTGACAGATTCTTTCGGATTCACACTGATCTTCATGTGGACCTATACCGATTACCACTTGCTCGCTTTTCGGTATGAGTTGCATTTCGGGGCAACTAGAATGACTATCGACATCACTTTACAACATCGCGCATCGCTCACTGTGACCCACTCACTACTGGTAGCTCATTCCATAATGTATAGCGACATGATCATTGATCACCTTAAAGGTGTTAATGATTGTATTGTAATTGATGCCAATACGTTCATTTGTAAACGCATATTTATGGCGCTGTTCAATTCTGACTACTCTGCATGCTGTGTGCTGTTGTAAATAGCCAGTTGTTGTACAATCATACCTCCTACCATTATCAGTGCTAAACCGTAGTCGCAAGTTTTGTTACTTTATTTGCAGTCGAACTCATGAAACAACAGCCGCTAATTTTGGTCATGCATTGCGTAGTTTACTGTGTTGCCTTGGTAGCTCTGGGCCACTCATATCTGTCAAGCATCTTTACGTTTCAACTATATACTCCAGCTAATAGCTAACCAATGCGACCAGGTAGAATCGCGTATTGTTCTGCCCGAAGCTGGCTAGCCGAACAACCCCGTGGTGCCAGCTGGGTAGTTCGGGTTATTCCCGTTCCGGCAAATAGTTCAGCGGCAGCGTTCCAGGACGTGATGGGTTTTCTGTTGGCAAGCGTTGTCCCCATAAAAAGCCACAAAAGTCCGCTTAACAACACTGTGACGTGGCGGATGTGCCTCGCCACTAAATAAAATCACTACCTCTTCCCTTTCCTGAGGATCTTTCTTACTTCACGAACGTTATACACTTCAAAGAGTTCCTTTGACTCCTTCATACAATGACGAATAAAGCTAACAAAATCACGAATTCAGTCACCTTAACACATTCACTCATCATGTCCACTTACACGCGTCAGTGTGAATTACAAATATACATGGTTGGCGACACCCGGTTCCGGATTTGCTTGTCACTGTGGCTTCAATAAGACAGCCACAGGACGCATGCGCCTACAGAGGGACCATGGTTGGCTTGTGCTGCACCATCCATAGCTCCATCCACCCCCAAATACACGTTGTTGGCGGCAGACGGTTTCCGATTTACCTGTCACTGTGACCAGCCACAGGACGCCTGCGCCTACAGAGGGACCATGGGTGGCTTGCGCTGCACCACACATGCGCCCCATATCTAGCATAAACCCGAAAGAATAAGACCGGGAGGCAGGTGGATGGGAGCCACATTTCATCAACGGAGTCGGCCCACACTCCTTTACAGACAAACATAAGCACGCTGTATTTGGGAATCAAGCGCACACAAGGTGGTGGCTGGACCGTAGTCCGCTCCACACTGAGTGCATGGAACTGCTCTTCGAGCCTAGCCCGACCACAAGGACCGTGCACCCCGTCCCCTCCAGCAACGACCAACTGTCTCCTGGAGCCAGTATGAACGAGGTAGTGGGTGATAGACAGGTAGGCACCTTGTCAACTTGCACATCAAGCGCAGCCACATCGGGGATATCAAGCAACAGCCATTCACTTTAAACAACAAGATAAAATAAATCCAGTAATGCATACAGATGCGGTGGCATAACTCCGCTAAATTAGCATATGAAGTAAGTTGGTTAGGAACCAATCCGCGATAAGTAAAAAATGGCCACAAGTTACTTAAAAATGCTACAAACGCAACAAAATTACCGAAGATAAGCGTAACTAGCGTAAGCAACGTGGCCAGTTAATGGAACATTATTCAGGTAGGCAGAACAAACCAAATAAAGTGGAATGAAATTTATCCAGCTTAAAAAGACCTAGTTTAAGTGTAAGTTGGTTTAGCCCAACTGCGGTGAAGAAGCATCAAGAATGAAACATCGGCCTCAACACATACATATGTATATACACATTGATGCACTATGTTGCTGATCAACTTGCGATATTTTTGTTAAATTATCGACCATACATGTTTGTGTTCTCATGATTGTGCCTTTGCAGACCTGCCTCGCACTACCGAGAATAATGCATTTATTCATTGGTTTCCAGCCATTTCCAGTTTTTCACATTTTTATGCTCATCTGTGTGATGCTCAACGTTTGATTATATCCCGTACTTCATTTTTCATGTAAAGGTTGAAAGAATGTATAAACAGGCCCACAAAGTCGCTGAAGCAGCTCTACGTCGTTCTCAGCAATTGCAAAACCACAGCTCCGTTCATGAATCAATGTATCGAAGGGATATTCATGTCTTTGTCTTCATCCGTCGTCGCTTAGCTATATGTGCAAGGAAGCTGGGCAAACTAAAAGAGGCAATCAAGATGATGAAAGATGTACGTATCGTTTTTCCTGTCGCTGTTGTATCCTTATCCTTGTACTCATTTCCCGTTTTTTCACTGCCTATCGTTTGTAATCCTTTCATTTAGACATAAAATGCTCGGCGTTGAGTTTCAGTAGGGTTTACTGATAAGCTTTTGCTACTGTCTGTATATTCTTATCATCTGGCTGGGCTGACTTAATTGCATACATCGCTTAACCAACTGGCTCTCTTAACCCATAGAGTTGGAGCTTGACTGAAACTTGTTTTCTCGTACGCGGTATCCATGGCGATATGAACCACTTAGCGGTTTTGCTTTCAGCAACCCGTATTTCGCATCTTGCCCGACGTACTAAACGCCATTAACGGAACTATTCTGCGTCCCTCCGAATCAGTACTCTTCGCGACGTTTACTTTTCCGTTCGGTTTACCTCAGCTTGTCAGCAGTTGTCCGAGCCACTAAATTTGGTAGACCCAGTCGCAATGGTTCACGTCGCCATATTGACAACGACAAGCATGTATACTGGAATAGTCCCGTGATTGTTCCATTTCAATCTGCAGCTACCTGTCGGACAAACCCAGCTTGTCAACACCCACTTGCTAACACTCAAATTTGCAGAAAGGTCTTCAGAAAGGGCAACGGGATGTCATAGGTTCACCTAACGATCGTTAACTAACGCTTGTCCTACTCTGATTGGTCCTGTACACACACGCACCCTTTGTGACGTGTCGCGTCAGTTGTTGAATAGATTGTCCTCCATACGCATGCCATATTTTTACCTCTTGTCTACGTGTCAACATACGCCCTGCTAGGATCGAGTAACGACAGAATGTATTTGTGGTCTTCTAACGCAGCATCCAAACCTGTAGAGTAAACTGCGCATAGGCGAGTCTTTCCTTCTAGCTTATTGTTAATCACAATTAGAGCTGTCCATGAAGAGTACTTAGTCTATTATAGCTTGTCAAGCCCACTTAAATCGGGTAACTGGCTTCACGTCTGGATCGCAGGGGCAAATAAATCTTGATTTTCGTGCACAATCCCAAATCACTTATAAACGCCTGTGAATACTTCATTCATAATAGCTACGTTCAGTTCGCAGTTGCATAGTGTAATTTATTGTACACGGAGTTCAAGAGGGTATCAAGTATTTTCATGCTGTCAATCAAGTCGAGACCAAGTAAGTTCAGATCAGGGTGTCTTGTTACCTAGAGCTGACAGTCTGAAAATTACAGGGCGCGTGCTTTCACCATCTAGGTTTAACACTCCTGAAGCATTGATTGAAACTGGTTGAGCAACTATGATCTGAGCACCGAAGTGCGGTGGACCTAGTTGTCACGACTCACATTGAAAGAATACCAATGCATAACGACACAAGATAGTGGGACTGAATGCAAATAGAAAGTAGCGAAACTAGAAACATGAAGGGGATGCGTTAGACTCATCAGACTGGAACGAGAATTAACAACCGGATGCAAGAAACCGAATGCAGGATCGCCATTAACTGCGTGATTGCGCCATGCCTGATACCGTCTCCAACCTTTGGTGTGGACCATCCCGAGGTCCCCACCCAGGACGTTGGCACTCACTAGCTTGACCAAATCCCTCAGTCAATTTCTTCATACCTCCATGCCACATCATGGACTGGCCACCTCGCAGTTTCGCCCAACTTGGTGCAGCCACGGCGTATAATGCACCCCGAGGAAGCCGATCAACGGGCGTACAGAGGACATAGCCTAACCAACTTAAGCGATTGAAATTCAGCAGACACTCGGGTGAGGCACCAGAAGGCTTCTTGCCAAAAACCAACTGCCGGACCTCGGGATTGCTCACCCAGTGGTCCTACAAGACGTGAGTAAGACTTCGCAAGTACCGGTGGTCAAACATGGTCAAACATTTAGTCCATTCACTGTGAACTGACCACGTCTCCAATCGATACAGTAAGGTCGGCCCTGTCGCAGCGTTATATCTTAACTTTCACTGAAAGGCTGATATCCCGCTGCTTCCATAGATAGTTGAGTCTCTGAAATGCCACAGCAATTTTCCAGCGGATCATGGATACGATGCCACAAGGAACACCGTATGCCTCTGCGTACCTGGACACTGTCATCATCACGGGATCTAATACGAAAAACTATGCCAGCGAACAAAACACGTACTTGACGGAATAACGAGGTATGAATTCCGCCTGAGAATAGACAAGCATGACCTCCAAATGACGTACATAAAATCAATCAGTTTCGTCACTGGCCAAAATGGTGGACAACTGAATCCGTCAAAACAGTAAGGTGATCAAGGACATCCCTCCATCTAAGAACGTGGTAACATAAAGCTGATTCCTTGGTATGGCATATATGTATGCATATTCACAACTCTGTATACAACCAAATTTCATTTCACTTTATTTGGTTTGTTCTGCCTACCTGAATAATATTTTATTAACTGACCACGTTGCTTACGCTGATTGCGCTTATCTTCGGCAACTTTGTTGCGTTTGTAGCATTTTTAAGTAACTTGCGGATATTTTTTACTTATCGCGGATTGGTTCCTAATCAACTTACTTCATATGTTAATTTAGTGGAATTATGCCACCGCATCTGTATGCATTACTGGATTTATTTTATCTTGTTGTTTAAAGTGAATGGCTGTTGCTCGATATCCCCGAGGTGGCTGCGCTTGATGTGCATGTTGACAAGGTGCCTACCTATCTATCACCCACTACCACGTTCATACTGGCTCCAGGAGACAGTTGGTCGTTGCTGGAGGGGACGGGGTGCACGGTCCTTGTGGTCGTGCTAGGCTCGAAAAGCAGTTCCATACACTCAATGTGGAGCGGACTACGGTCCAGCCACCACCTTGTGTGCGCTTGATTCCCCAACTACAGCGTGCTTATGTTTGCCTGTGATGGAGTGTGGGCCGACTCCGTTGATGAAACGTGGCTCCCATCCACATGCCTCCCGGTCTTATTCCTTTGGGTTTACACTGGATATGGGGTGTGTAGTTGGCGCTGTTGTTGGTGTAGCGCAAGCCACCCATGGTCCCTCTGTAGGCGCAAGCGTCCTGTGGCTGGCCACAGTGACAGGCAAATCCGAAACCGGATGCCACCAACCATACAGACAATGTGCCGTAAGAACCATAGCAAAAGGGGAAGACAACAGGTATACAAAGAAGCAAAAAGACTGCTTTTTTGGGTTTCATCCGCGCCGTTTTTATTTTTTGGTTTTTTTAATATGTTAATATATACTTGCGGTTAATCAATAGATAAAATGGCCAACAACACTGGCGCGGCTGATGCCTGTTACGTGCCATCACATCCACCGTTTGCAACCACAGGAATTCCGAGTTACGTGGTCCCGAACGTGGGTGGCACACTGATCTAGCTGAAGCTAAACTTAAGGCCGTTTTATTCTTGCTCCTTTTCCACGTCATTGGTTGTCTACGGCGATACTTTTTTCAATCGCTTTCGGGAAGCGATAATAACGTTCGCCGGGGAAGGCGATAGTCTGGCATCCGCAGTACGTGACCGAGCCAACGCATGCAGTGTCGGAGAACAACGTTTTGAAGGCTGGGGCCGTCGGTGGCAGTCGGTGGACGCATAATACGAAACGTTAAAGCGGCACCTTACCTTTGGCCGCTTTCCATTACCTCTGATATACCTCCTAATTCGAATTCCATGCGGTCATTTACTTTGACATTTACATTTTCGTTTTTACATATAGAAAGTGGTGAAAAACACATAGGCTTTGGATTGGAAAATTCGGATTATTTTGGTAGCTGTGATGCTTTTTCTTTGTCCATTTTTAAAGACGCCAGCAACTAATGATACATTGGCAGTACCGACGTATTGGTGGTGCTTTTTTGGGTAAGACTCTTGAGCGCAAACCTGTAATCTTGTCAGAAAATCAGTAATAGGACCACATCTTCGAGAGCTGGTCCGCCAAACCCATAACAATACCGTATCCCAAACCTTATGTCTTGCCATATTTGACCTGAGATAGGTTTCACCTGCTCGCAAAGCTTCGTATTTTCTTTTCAAACCAATTGCATCCCGATGAGATTGAACCTTAATGTGGTGCGATGGTTTGTGTGCCTCAGTGATCCATTTAGCTATGCTGGATTGTGCTTTTTTGCACCTTTAGAACCACTCATATCAGATTTGTCAATGGTTAGATGCCTAACAAACTCAGTCTCCTGGCCCTCCAGGTTGGTGGTTGGAGTGAGCGTGGGTCCTTACTCCATAAAATGGGCTATCTGTAGTCCAATGCCAACACACCGCTGCCTTGCGGTAAGGTTTTTGAACCAAAGACTTTGGTTGAGAACCCTAATCGTTCTCCGGTCTAGGCCCTGGTCAACCTGACAGTATTCTGCCCACGCAATACACCATGACGTTTCCTTCTACCAATCTCTTGATGGTCTGGCCGTCGCAGAGGATAATAAACGGTGCCCTATCTGCTATATCGAACAGGGTGGATAGGGGGTTGGATGCTACTGCTCAGGTCTTCCCGCCTTCTTATTCCATGTCTTGCGCTTTTTCATCCTTGGTGTCCCGTTCCAACTTCATTTTCATCCCCCGTTTTCAATCTCCTCACCTTGCTTGAATAGTCGCTTGTCTTCTAGTTTCAATTCACGCACAATCGCATAGCGTCGCTCCAATCCAATCGACAAGTCCATGTTCAACCAAGCGGACAACATCAGTTCATCCGTTCCCCTTTGGAATCTTCGAGTCTCGCTAAGACTGGCATGCCTCAACATGCGCACTTTGCTACAGCTTGGCCAACAGACAGCACTTGCCCAGACACTAGAGATCCTATCGATCGATATTTGCTGTTTGTCAGAAACCTGCCTGTAAGATTCGAGCTCCGTGCATACTCTGCGATCCCCCACATGCGACACTGGCGGCACAATCACACTGTGCCTGTCTGGCGATGATACAGCTTCAAATTCTAGTCAAGCTGGCGTCGGCATTTTTCTGAGTCCCTGGACTGAAGCTGCCCTGTTCGATTGGATCCCAGTTAATA